TGGCCTGTAGGTTGGTGATCTGAGAGTCATGTGGTACACACCTATAATCCCAGCTACTTCTGAGGGAAGGCAAGAGGATCTGCGTTTGAGGCCTGGGCTAAGAGAGACTCTTAGGAAATAGCCAAGGGCTGTGGAATCCCCCGGTAAGGGGCTGGGGGAGTGGCTAAGTGGTAGGGTGCTTGCCCAGAATCCACTAGCAAGGGGCTGGAATGGGGACAGCTGTACTGGCCAGGGACTGCAAGGAGGCTCCGTTGTGGAGGGCGCTGTGCTGGGCCTTGACAGTGCCCTAAACAAATCCTTATGAGCAGATGCTATGATGATCCTCATTTTACAGAGGAGAACACTGAGGCTCAGAGGTGAGCTCACTTGTCACGTAACCAGTGACAGAGCAAAGGTTTGAGCTTAGGCCTCCCGATTGCAGAGCTCTTGCTCTCGGGGAAGGGAGGTCTGTGTAAGGGCACCATCCTTGGCTGGAGAACTCCCTACTCTAAGGCCTCTCCAATCTCCCTCAGTCCCACGTGGACAGCGACTCCTCCTCCAGTCACAGCCGCCAGGAGACTCCTCCCACAGCTGCTGCAGCTCCCATTGTCACAGTGGAGTCAACATCTGCCTTCCCACCAGCCACACCCCCACAACGGCGACGCTCCTCTGCTCAGGTACGACCCTCAGCAATGATCCAATAGAGCTGTGCTGCTTCAGGGCTGATGCCTAAGCTGACCCGAGCTGAAGTCCACCTGAGTGAGAAGGGACCCAGATCCCAGGAAATGGCCAGTCTGACTGAGCGGTGGGCGGTAGTGGAGCAGAAAGAGACCTCCAGGTTTGGGGCCAGGGAAGTCGCTCAGTGATAGAGTGCTTACCTAGGGTGGGAGGTGCTGGAGATGCTGAGTTCAAGTCCCACACTGGGGTAGAAAGAAAGCAGCCTGGACTCCCGCGAGCGGGTAGGAGCTTCCAGATGTCTCCAGCTCTCTGGGAGATTTGAAGGCCATCTAGTTTATACTGGGGCTTGAGGGGGGACATGGACAGATTTTCAAGTGTGTTAGAAGATGCTGGAACGCATGAAAGGACTCCTTAGGACTGTTTCCTTTATCCTGAAGGAAGGATGGGGGTAGAGTGTGACTGAACTGGGAAGCCACGAGGTTCTTAAGGTGTGTGCTTGCTGCCTACATTCATCTGTCTCTGAGGGCTGAGGGACTTGGATGAGGAACAGGCTGGAAGTCTAAACCCCAAAACCAAGAGAGTTTTAGGGGGACACGGTTCCTCTTGACTGGCTCTTGGCTACATCATGGGATTTTGGCACTTCTGAACCTGGGTAGCCTATGGGGACTTTGTGAGTTGCAGATGTCCCTAACCTGATCTCCTTGTCCCTTGGCTCTGCAGAGCTACCCTCCGCTTCTACCGTTCACTGGGATTCCAGAACCCTCAGAGTCGCTAGCCGGGGCAGGGAGCCAGGGCTGGGGCGGCCGTGGCTATGAGGACTACCGGCGATCCGGACTACCGGCACCTCTTCCCCTGTCTACCTGCGTCGTGGGCTTCGCCAAGACTGGTGCATTGAGGGGTGCAGCTCTGGGTCCCCCAGTGTCACTCCCTGCCCCTCTCACTGAGGCTACGCCCCCAGCACCCCCTGCTCGTCCACCCCCGGGTCCGGGCCCCACTCCTGCTCCAGCCAAGGCCTCCCCGGAGGCCGAGGAGGCTGCACGCTGTGTGCACTGCAGAGCACTCTTCCGCCGCCGGGCGGATGGGCGTGGTGGTCGGTGCGCAGAGGCCCCAGACCCAGGTCGCCTGCTAGTGCGCAGGCTCAGCTGCCTGTGGTGTGCCGAGAGCTTGCTGTACCACTGTCTGTCGGACGCCGAGGGTGACTTCTCGGACCCATGCGCATGTGAGCCAGGCCACCCGCGCCCTGCTGCACGCTGGGCCGCTCTGGCTGCGCTGTCGCTGGCAGTGCCCTGCCTCTGCTGCTACGCACCTCTGCGCGCCTGTCACTGGGTTGCAGCACGGTGTGGCTGCGCAGGCTGTGGGGGTCGCCATGAGGAGGCTGCACGGTGAGGATCGTTGGGCTGGTTTGAAAATCGGTCTGCAGACCTAAAATGGAGGGTCCGGGACCCTGAACTCCGTACGAACCTAAAACCCAAACTTAGGTACGTCTGGAACTTGGAGCTTAAATGGATTTGAGAGATCCCAGATCTGGTACCTTGGACCCCAAACCTAGGACTAAGATCTCAGACTCAGCTTCATCAGGATGTCTGTCAAGTGGACCCAGGAGTCCTGAATTCTGGATTCTCCCTTCCTCTTCCCCACTGAGGAGACTCATGACATCTCCAAACATTGCATCTCAGAAGGCCCAGGAGCTTACACCCCTGAGACCCAGGCAGGGATCTTGGACCCTGACTCTTTGTCTAAATACCCAACCCACACTCCAGGTCATACTTGACATTGTAAACACTCATACTACAGCTCCCGAATTAGTCAGGAGTTGCTAAAACCGGGACCCTTTATCAAATGACTTAGACCTTGAGACCAGAGGACCCAGGATCACCAGAAAACAGTCCCTGAATTTTCACTGGAGACCTGGTATACCTACATCTGGATGTCCTTAGAGCCCAGGACCCGGAAACACCAAATCCGGGTTAGAGACACCAGGATGGTTTGGAATCACCAGATACTGACCTGAAGTCTACTCACTCCTGAGAGTCCACAGATCTTACCATGAGTTCATGTACAAGTGATTCACAGATTCCCGAGGGCCCCAAAATGCACCAAAAGTTCTCAGATATCCTCAAACATGAGGTATTTTCTGACCAAAATAACTTGGGAGGCCCTTTTCAGAGCTCAGCAAGGTCCAGATATCAGACACCAAGATGCCCTGGGAGCCAGGGCCCGAACACCTGCCCCTTAAGTCAGCAGTTCTGGAGAGCTTGGGTCTCACGGATGGTCTCTGAGGTGCCTGTTACCCCTCAGATGTATGCCTGAAGGCCACCAGCACTTTGGGTCCAGTGCACTGGTCTCAAGTGCTTAGATAGCCTTCCAGTTTCCCTGGGGTCTGAATTCTAAGAACCCAAATGTTCTGGAAACATTAGCTTCCTTCTACCTATGTTCCCCAACCAACAGCTGGGTAGGAGCCTGGATCTCAGGAGATGTAGTGGCCGTGGTAATCCAGGCCTCTCATCCCTTGACTCTCAGCTCTACAGCAACTCCAAGGTGCTCTAAGAGCACTGGTCTAAGACTCTAAGATACCAATTGACCCCTGTGTGCAGGACCCCACAATCTTGAGATTGTTTTTGGCCTGAGACCTTGGTCCCTCTGTACCAGAGACGCTAGAAACAAGATGTCCCAGGGCCTTGGCATCTTCAGACCCCAGAGTTTCTTGAACTCAAAGTACTTCTAGACTGATGAAGCCCCCAGATACCTCATCACCTGATCCCCCCTGAGTCCTACCATCCAGAGGTTCCTAAGACTACAAAGTCCCAGCAACATCCAGATATCCTCTATCCTGGGGAAACACTTGCGCCAGTGTGAATTCAGATGGCTGGGATCCTGGACCACCCAGCAGTTCCCCTCTCCCACCTCTAGGGCCTGGCGTTGCCGCAGAGGATTGTACACACAGAGGATTGCACCAGCTCTCAGCTGAGCAGAGACAGGCAGCGGCAGGGGTCAAGCAGGGACTCAGAGGAAGCCCACCCTTCTCGACTGTACACAGCTGTACCTTTTGGGCTGGCTATGGCTCCACAGAAGCCCCCATCATCCCTAACCCTTGCAGATCACTCCTGCCATCAACCCCTAGTTCATTCAGGTCCATCTCCTGTTAGCCTCCTCCATCTCGGTTGGGAGTTGCTTTGGAAAGCTCGGCACTGTTTAATGCACTTCCCCATGCTTTCCTTCTGAAGAAGAGGGGTGCCTCAGCCTCTTTTCCCTAAGAAGAGTGGGGTGTCACTGTGCCTAGGAACTGGTGTCCTGGATAGGGGAACCAAGGTCTCGGAGCCAAGACAGTCTTGATGGTTTATGGGCTTAGGACCTACATCTGGCCCTAAGTTACTAGGGATGTGCACTTAACCATTCCTCATTACCTAGACCTGGGTGGCCTTGTGGGGATTCAAGGGATTAATATTTGTGTCACTTCCTTTAAATTATTAACTATTTATTGTATCCGGAACCTGTGATTCAGCTCTCCCAACCAGACCCTGGGATGGGTAAGAGAAAATGGGGAGGGGGGTGTCCCTCCCATCCCCACTGTTCGGCTCTCATCACTGTCAAACCCACCAGAGCTGAGGGCGGAGGAACTGGGGGCTGGGGCAGCCTGGGTCCCCATCCCCCTCTCTGTGCCTCGGTCTCCCCCCTTCCATGGTGAGTGGGGGGAAGCTCCATTCTTAACCTACCTCGTTTTGGGAAGGGGTGGGATGGGGGACCAGAGTGCTGTATGGTGCTGTGAGATCTTCGGATTAAGCAGTGGGGACCGGGGAAGGTTCCCTAGTCCCCATCTCCCAGTACCCCCTCTCCCAGGTCCCCATCCCTGTTCCTTGCTGACACCCACCTCTGATCCATGATTACCTTTCACTGCCCCCATATCTGGGGGGCGTGGAGGGCTGAACCCTGGGAGCCAGGAAGACCTCAGACCCTGGAGCCCCCAATTTTCCAGCTGCTTGCCCCTCAGATTGGATGCTTGCCCCCCAGATTTTGGGGCAGGCACGCCAACATTTATCTTCCTGATCGTGATTCCAAGCCAGTCTGTGACCTCAATATTGTTAGCATCAGTGCAGGCTGAAGCGGAGGGAGGATGGGGGGGCCAAAGACCCAGCCTTGTTATTGGGGAGAGGGGCTTGAAATCTGCTCCAAGAAATGTCTGTGACAGTGTCTAAGCCTGGTCTTTGTTTGCATTGGCGCGCCCCCTCCACTTGCTTACCAGAAGGACTGGACTCCTACCGTTCTTCCTCTCACCATCCTTTAGTCCCTAGCTGACCGTCTAGGTGGGTTTGTTTGTCCAGTCAGCCAAGTACATTTACTAAACGCCTAACGTGTCAAGCCCTGTAGTTACTGGTGGTGCTGCAGTGGACAACAAGCATTGAATAAAACCCTGCAAAAGGTGAGGGGTCCTGTGGGTGTGTGCAGGGTTCAGCCAGCACCGGTCACTAAGGCGGGAATATATCTGGTAAGCTGGGAGTGGAGTTAAGCAAGGGGAACCCTGGGAGAGGGGGTTGGAAAGGTGACAGGGTGTGCCAGGCTTCCAGTGACATTGTACGGGCTTTGTTACCCTGAGTGAGTGAGATGGAGCCACGGGAAGGCTCCCGAGCATGATTTGGATTTTCAAAGGCTAGTTGTAGCTGTGTGAGGAAGGCCCCCGGGGGAACAAGCTGACAGAAAGCTCCTCCCTGGGGAGGTAGTGTGGGAGAAGGGAGAAGGGGGGTAAGGGATGTTTTGAAAGAGTCCACAGATTTTTTTTAAAGGTTTTATCTATTTTATGAGTTATTGCTTGCATATACATGTATGTGTGTGCACCGCCTGGTTACCTGGCGTTGGGTCCTCTAGAGCTGGGTTTGCAGCTGTGAGCCACTGTGTGGTTGCTGGGAACCCGGGTCCTCCATAAGAGAGGCTGAGGATGAATAAATAGCACAGGAGCCCACTGTGATGTTGACGGAGGGCCTACCTGTAGTGGGAGAGTGGGTGTGAGGGTGTGCTGACATTCTAACCCTAAGGTGAAAGGAACCAAGTTGGATGAGCTTTGCGGTCTGGGGTGATTAAAGAGCAAAGGGCAGCCGGGCGTGGCACACGCCTGTCAACCAACACAAGGAAGGAGGAAGCAGGACCAAGAGGCCAACCTGAACTACATACATACCGAGACCCTGCCTCAAAACCGATGAATTTAAAAAGCAGAGTGAAAAAAAAAGTGGAAAGGAAAACAGGTTGCCTTTTGCTTTTATGTTCCCGAGAGCAGGGACACTCAAGCGTCCCACAACCTCGGGGATCCTAACCTCAAGCTGTGAAATTTACAACCCTGGACAAGCTACCTGATGGGCGCGCGTGGCGGACTGTCGAGCCAATCGGAGCGCCGAAGCTCCTTCGCACGAGAATGTGATTGGGTAGAGGCTGGGGGGGCGGGAGGAGGCACCCTCGGGGCGGAGCCTGTCCCAAGCGGAAGGGGGTACGCGCCCGGGGTCCCCAGGCGAAGCTGCGATGGATGGGGCCACGGTGGCCGGCGACCTGCTGATTTTGGGGTAAGGGGTTCGGGGGTACGGGAAGGGCGCACTCGCCTCGGGACGCGGACGCACAGGGACTCGCACTGACGTGCGCTCCGCCGCAGGTACGGTGCCCTCCCGGAGGCGGCGGCGTCTCGGGGCCCCGCGTGTGCGGACTTCAGGGCGCTGTGCGCGCGGCTGGCGGCCGAGCTGACGGCTCTGGGAGCTCTGGAGCGGCGAGAGGAGGGCACCGCAGTGCTGGGCGCTGGCCATGGTGCGTGAGGATCTGGGTGGACGGCGGGTGGAGGCGCGGGGCTCGCCGCTCCCTGATGGCTTCCTCCTCCCGCAGGCCCCGAGTCAGAGGAAGAATTCCTGCGGCAGTTGGCCGGCCTTCTCCGGGCGTTGCACTGCCCGGATCGCGCGCTCTGCGGCGGAGACTGCGCCACCGTGCTGCGGGAGCCCGGCGGCGGCCTGCGCCTGCTGCGTGAGCCTGGAAAGCTCCGGGAGGCGGGAGGGGGCGGGGCCTCGGGGCGGGGCGGGGCCTCGGGGCGGGGCGGGGCCTCGGGACGGGGCCGGCTCTGAATCTGAGACTGGGCTCCCCGGGCCGCGGTGGCGGGGCGGGGTTGGATTAGGGCTGGGCTGGAATTCTGACGAAGGTCTCTGGAAGCTTTAATGGGTTGGGTGAGATGGACCGGTGGTGGTTCTGAAGTCGGCTGGAGGAGGAGGAGGAGCTGCAGCCTTGAAGTGAGCGAAGCTTACTCTGGGGGAGGGGCCAAGGTTCTAGCTGAGCAGGGATCTGCTCCTATTTTTAGGGTTTCTTTGCTCCGAGCTCCAGGCTGCCCGCCTTTTGCGTCTGCGGCTCCGGCTAGATCCTAGCCCTGTGCAGACCTTCGGAGAAGGGACAGAGGAGGGGAATGGCGCGGTTCAGGAGCTGATGCTAACTCTTCAAGCACTGGGGCTCCCTAAACCCGTGCGAGGAACCCTGGCCAGCCAGCTACTTCGGGAGTTTCACAACAAGGTAGAGAGACAGGGTCCCCTCTTGAGCTACCTTACTTGGGGAGAGGATCCTGTCTTCAAAACCATCTCTAGAAAGAATGACCCAATGACAGGGATAGTTTTAGAACTCTGGTCACCATTTGTTTTAGTATGCTGTGATAAAACACTGACTGGAGCCAGTGTGAGGAGGAAAGGTTTGTTTCCGTTTACAAGTTATAGCCCATCGTTGAGGGAACTCAAGGCAGGAACTGAAGTCGAGACCACAGAGGAACACTTTCCTAGCCCATTTCTGGCTTGTTTCAGCTACCTTTTGTATACAGGCCAGGTCCATCTGCCCAGGGATGATAGCACTGCCCACAGCAGACCAGGCACTCATACATCAAATAGCAATTAAGAAAATTGCCAACAGGCATGCGTACAGGCCAGTCTGACGGAGGCAGTTCCTCAAATGGAGAGTCCCTTTTCTCAGGTCTGTCTAGATCTGTGTCAGGTTGACAAAAAAAAAAAAAAAAAAAAAAAAAAAAATAGACGTTAACACTATTGATGCCTCTGAGGCCCTGGGTTCATATGGCTGAGGGGCACTGGCGTATTCTGAAGGCCCATCCTGGTTGTGCCTTCTGATGGTTTCTTCCACCAGATCTCTGAGCTGCTGCCTTCCCTGCCCGCAGAGTCCATGCAGCCCCTCCTTAGCTCCCTACTGGATGCATCACAATGGGTAAGAGCATGTGTAGATGGCTGTGACCAGCATCCTTACCCAGACATGGGACCCTTGGTGTGACCGTGACCTCTTCTTCCAGGAAGCCCTGGAGTCTCTGTCCCAAAGCCTGACAGAACAGTACTGCTGCCGCCGCTGCCTTCTTCTGAAGCGTCTGGACCTTACAACGTCTGCTTTCCACTGGGCTGACCGTGCAGAGGTGTGGGGACCTTAGCAAGAATAAGCAGCCCATTGGGATGCACAGCTGCAGGGCAGAGGACCAAGGGCGAGCGTTATTACCCTCTTGGGGAATGCTGAGGCCCGGACCACTCTAGAATTCCTTCAAGATATTATTATTTTTTATTTGATGTGTTTTGCTTATATGTGTATATGCATCATGTGTGTGCAGTATTCACAGAGGCCAGAAGGGGGTGTCAGATCCTTTGGAACCAGGGATAGAGATGGTTGTGAGCCACCATGTGGGTGCTGGGAACTGAAGCCAGGTCTTCTATAACTGTCAGCAGCCAGTTCTCTTAACTGTCAAGTCATCTCTCCAGCCCACACTTCAGAATCTTACAGGGTTCAAGACTTCTAGACTCTCAGGGCCTCGAGAGCATTCTAGAAGGCCCAGCTCTCAGCTGGGAGTGTCCTCAGAACTATTCCCCTGTGTAACAAAATGGACAGTTAAGACTATCTCAGTTGGTTTTATGTTGCCAGCAAAAGGTACCAGCAACTGGGTGCTTTATAAGGAAAATCAGGTTCATTCCGGCTTATAGTTTTGGGGGCTGAAGCACCTGCAGGCTTGGACAGGTAGTGGGATTTGCATGAATGGCCTCCAGGGTCAGTGCCCTATAACCTTGGTATCATCACCTACGCTCTATCTCTTATAAGGTCAACCACTTTTAAGATTTTGGTTTTGCCTCTTAACTTGCCATGTGGCTGAGGGTGACCTCGAACTCCTGATCCTTTAGCCTCTACTCCCCTAGTGCTGAGATGACTGCTCTTGCACCACCGTGCCCAGCTGTCTGTCACAGCACATGACCCTGAGCGGCGATGAGCTTTGGGCACCTTCTCCATGAGTGCCCTTCCCCCCACTCCAGGCCCAAGGAGAGGCCATGAAGGCAGTGCTATTCCCAATCCGAGGACTTCTGACTCCAGAATCTGATGTCTCTGTTGCACACGTTCTGGCTGCCCGAGCTGACCTTTCCCGTCTGGTCCCAGCTACCAGTGTGGCTGCCCGCCGAGGGACCAGCTGTGCCATCAACAAGGTACCTCAGGCAGGGTAGAGTCTGGGCATCCTTGACCTTCAGTTTGGCCTTCGGGGGTTTCTCCTGGTCCAGTGTTCTCCCTGGTTCCTGGCCTCTAGACTCAACTGGCCTCAAACTAACCACTCTCCATAGTAGTTGGAGGGAAATTTTCTAATTTTTTTTTAGATAGTCTCATGTAGCCCAGGCTAGCCCTGTAGCTAACTCACTCTGTAGCTAAGAAGTTGGCCTCGACTCCCAATCTTCCTCCACTTCCCAAATGCTGGAATGATGGGGTGCACGAGCACACCAGCTCTTGTTTTACCTATTGGAACTCCAGTCTAATCAATTCTCAGGTGCTTATGGGTGATGTGCCAGACCGTGGGGGGCGCCCAGGTGAGCTGGAGGCGCCCATGCCGACCTGGAAGAACCGGAGGGAAGATGGAGGAAGGGGGAAGGCTGGCCAACAGCGCTGGGGGCGCAGGAAGAAGAAGAAGTAAAGGGTCTTGGAGGGTCGGTCGGTCGGTCGGTCGGAGGTTCTGTAGGTGCTGAGGCCGCTGGTAATCTTTGAGAGTCACTTTTAAGGTTTCCCTTGGCACCTAAGCCCGGCATTGCCTGTGGTAGAGGCCCTAAACCTCTCTCCACCCACCCGCCACTCAACACTATGAACCATGTTGTCTGAAAAATAAATTTAATTCTTTTGATGGTTGTAGGATCTGTTTCTGGAGGGACCAGCTCAAGGGTGGGTGGGTTTGTGGAGGGGCAGGGGGATTGCTGCCCACACTGAAGCATCAGACAAACACTTCACAGGGGCTGGGCAGCCGGGACACAGCGGGATGATAATACAGATGAACATCTGCCTTTTGCTAGCTCTTCCTGGTGAGGAGAGCAAGCGTTTAACAAGATAAATAGGTGAAATGTCTAGTCTGCTAGAGGACCAAAGCACCACAGGGGGAAATAAAGCAGGAAGGAGGTCAGAACATGGATGTGTGACATCTCTGAGGTCAGGAAGCCTCGTCAAGGGGATGTTCCTTGAGCAAAGCTCTAAGGCAGGTGAGTCATATAGACCTCTGGTAAACAGCATTCCAGATAAAGGGACCCTCCAGTGCAAAGGCCCCGGGGCTGGAGTACTTTGGGCATGTTCTAGGAACATAGAGGCCAGTGTAGGCGGACGAGGATGGGGAAGGAGGTAAGATGTGGAAAGGGAAGACAGGTGGTGGGGACAGACCGGGTTTTACCTTGAGCACGGTGCGGAAGCTCTGAGCAGAGGAAGGTATTTCCTGCCCACACCAGCGTTTCTCCTGACACTGGTTAGGACTCTGTCCCCTCCATTCTCATAACCGCCAGACACATGCCAACAGTCCCGGTGGGCCACTGGTCCAGAGCTTCATTTGGAAACAGTGTGAGTCTTGCCTCCCACATTTTGAGCAGGAAGCTTAACCTTACTAAGCTTTAGTCTCCTTATCTGGGGAGTGGGGGGCTGGGGAGACGACACAGCCTGAGTCCAAGTTCATCCAACCCCGAGCCGCAAATGCTAAGTGACGGGGAGGAGAATGATTGACAGTCGGTGCAGGGTAAGAGATGATGGGTGTTTGTCAGGGGCAGTGTGGGTGTGGATGAGACGGCGGTCCGGGAGGGAGGGAAGGGACTCCAGATGCTGTTCAGGCACTGGGCTTCGAGGAAGCGTTGGACGACGGAACTGGTGCTGGGGAGGGCACCTGGTAGGAGGAAGAGTACACAATGAGGGGCCCTTCGTTTCTCTAGGTGACAGTTCACAACCAGGACCAGGGTCTCACTCAGATTATGGCCAAACAAACAATACTCCCAGACGAAATCTCTGCCTTTCAGGAGTGGAAATGGTTCCAATAATATTGATTGTAGCGCCTGACATATGTGGCCTTATTTTGTGTGTGTGTGTGTGTGTGTGTGTGTGTGTGTGTGTGTGTGTGCATCATGTTCCATGTGGATGCTGCTGACCCTGACCCTGGAGAGCATGCCAGGGACTCCTGGGTAGGCAAGTGCTCTTGGCCTTGTTCTCACTTTCCCTTTTTGGGGGTGTGGGGTGTGGGGAGAAGACAGGGTCTCTCACTGTGACGGTCTAACCTGGATCCTCACCATGCAGGCAGGCCGTCAAGTTGTGGCTCTTCTCCTTTCTCGGCCTCTTCAGTGCTAGGTGTATAGGCTTGAGCAACCATGCCTAACTTTTTCTTTGTTTCTGTGCTAGCCGCTACCCACCCTCGTCACCTGAGTAGATTATGACCGCTGTCATTTCTCTGTCAACACTGAAAACTAGTCGGTGTCCACCGGGCATGGTGGCTCATGCCTATAATCTCAACACTCTGGAAAGGGAAGGCAAGATGGTGTTTGAGGCCAGCCTGCGTTACAAAGTGAGTCGGTTAGGTTTTGCCATCTAACACAATCTGGAGTCACCTGGGACTCCAGTCAGAGGGACCGTCAACTGAAGAACCGCTTCCGTCCGACTGACCTGCGGACACGCCTTGATCAGTGACTGATGTTCTCCACTCCAGTTCCTGCCTCCAGGGACCTGCCTGACTTCTTCCAGAAACTCAACTAGGCAAGTCAAACAAACCCTTGCTCCCCCAGGCTGATTTTGGCCAGCGTTTTATCACAGAGAGAAAGCAGACTAGGACACATAGTGAGACACCATCTCAAAATTTTTTTTTTTCTTTTTCTAAATTAGTGTCTCTAACCTCCCATCCAGGTGACTGTGGATTTCTATATGGTTTTGCTTTTCTGTGATTCCCAGATCTGTCTGGTTTTTCCAGGCAAATGGCCTGCCTCTCCTGGATCCAGCTAGGGACTTCTTCTTACCATCTCTGTCTCCCAGGAAGAGTGTGAGGACTCCGTCTGGGTCCAAGCATGGCGAAGGTGGCAACCAGACTCAGCATCCGGGGATAGTGTATAGGAGAGGTTTTCCTCAGAGCCTGTTTGTGATGTGACGGACAGAAGAGATGTGACTAGGACAGGAAGGACTCCATGACCTCAAGAATGAACCCCATCCTCTGGGCCCTCCTCCCAGGTACTGTGCAGCTAGCCAGGTCTTACCGCAGCTGGCAGGAGGCTGTGGTGTGGCTGGCACAGGCGCTCCTGGGGGACCAGGATCGCCCTTCGTCTCCGGCCTCTTCTTACACTCCACTCTCACTTGGTCCCTGCAGTGTCTGTGACAACACAGCCCGCAGTCTGGGGATGGGGTGGGGTGGGGAAGGAGCTATTAAATACCTCATTCTTCCAGCCTGCAGGTCGGCAGTCCCTCCCTGTCACTTACCCCGACAACGATAACCTTGCTTGTTGACACCCCAGAGCTGAGGGAAGGAAGGAGAATGGGTTAGCGAGACTAGAGGAGGGGGCCCGGGAGGGAGAGGATGGAAGCCAACAGGTTTCGAAACTTCGGAAGATTCTGAGACCAAAATGATAGGAACTTGGAAATGATCTCAAACTCAGGGAGTCGTGGAGAACCGGGCAAACTTCTGAGTTAACAAAAATGTACATTCTGTGGGTGGGGGCTGCTTGTGTCGTTCACGGTGTCTCCAGACCCCAGAACTGCCTGGCTCATGGGCTGTGTCAAGTGTAGACCTAGCAGTAAATAAATGGTGAGATCTGTGGATTTGTCTAGACTTGATGGTTGAGGTTTGTCCACTATTAAGAATTCGAAGCCAGGTGTGTGTTTTCGGAAGATTGAACCCAGGGCCTTGTACATGGCAGGCAAGCACTCTACCACTGAGCTATATCCCTTGCCCTAGCCCTATAAAATGAATTTGAAGCTAGCCTAAGCTACATGGGAAGACTCTGTCTCAAAAAGCCAAAATCTGAGGGAAAACAAACAAATAAAAGATGTCTTTAATTTGAAAATGAAGAAAACTTTGGATGGTCCAGGGTAAAAGGGTCAGAATGATTTTTGGGACCAGTTTTTTTATGTAGCCCTGGCTGGCTTGGAGCTCCACATGTAGACCAGGCTGGCCTCAAACTCACAGAGATCTGTCTGCCTCTGCTTCTTAGCTGCTGGCATTAAAGGTACACCATCATACCAGCTAGAGACTGGTGTTTATCCCGTCCCTCAGCAGGAGCAGCCAAGTGATGTTCCCTGCTGAGCCATATCTCCGGCTCTGCTAGTGTTTTTTTTTGCTTATTTGTTTATTTATTTGTTTGTTTATTTGTTTATTTATTGTTTATTTATTTATTTATTTTGGTTTTCCAAGACAGGGTGTCTGTGTGTGTAGTCCTGGCTGTCCTGTAATTTTGTAGCCCAAGCTGGCCTCAAACTCAGAAATCAGCCTGCTTCTGCCTCCCAAGTGCTGGGACTAAAGGCGTGCGCCACCACGCCCAGGTATGTTAGTGTTTTTTAAGGCAGGGTCTCATATAGCCCAGGCTGGCCTCAAACTCACTGTGTAGCTGAGGATGACCTTGCACTCCTGGATTCTAGCGCACTACCATGCCCAGTGCAACCTACCCAGGTTTGCAGGTTATCCAGCGTTTCGGAAATTGCTCGGGGCTTTGGATAGTTATTCACATGTAGAGTTTGGCGAGTGCACGGAATATAGGAATGCCAGTGTTCGGTGCTTATATAAACTATGAAATATCAGGCTGGGGCATTTCTGGAAGTCTCCCCCATCCCACCCCCACCCCCACCGTCCCAGGTTAGGTTGGGAGGAGCTAACCCAGGGGAGACAAGGCCAGGTGCTCACAAAGCCACTGCAGCTGTGACAGAAGGCGGGCTTGCGGAAGGTGACCTCATGGAAGGTATGCAGGAAGGCCAGGCCCAGCTTGGAGCAGATGGCGCTGGCACGGAGCAGGTATTCCGTCAGCTCCTCTCTGCTGAAGGAGCCGCTCCTGCAGGGTAAAGGCCACACCTCAGCACGGCCTCTCGTGGCACATCCAGGATCCGTGCTTTCGGAAGATCCAGGAGCCTGGGCCTCTTACCCGTGGCGGGGAGGTGGGTGAAGCCCGTGGCAGGCAAAGGGGAAGTTGCCTGCCAGCCGCTCAAAGTCCTCCAGAGAGATGGTGCCATGGCCTTCTGGGTCGTAGTTCTTGAACACAGACTTGAGAGGAACACCGAGAGCAGAGTGAGGACAAGACGCCCAGGTCCAGCCCTGTGGGCGTGGCTGCCTCCCCACTCCCTCCTGACATCCCTCCACAGGGACCCCAGCTCCTCCTCACCGCCACGAGCTGTTCCACATGCTGACCCAGGGTCACACTGTCTGGCTTTGGTGTCACACCATGGGCCCACTCCAACACCAGAGGTGCTTTGTAGGGGGAGGGTGGCTGGAAGGACACAGAGGGATACAGTTAGTCAAGGCACAGGCTCGGCCAGGGCGGGTCAGAAGGTCAGGGGTCAAGGCTCACCAGGCTCTTGGAACAACGTGGTTCCCGGGCATAAGAAAGCTCGTAGATCTCATCTTCTGTGTAGAAGAGATCCAGGGAGAGCTGGGGGATGGGCGGGCAGTAAAGTTCCTCCTCCAGGTCTCCGCCTGGAGCCTGCACCCATCCTCTTCCCAGACCCTTCTCCAGACTCTTGGCCCTGTCCGGGCACCCATCATCCTCCATACTGTTCCCTCCACACTCCAGAGGTGCCTTGTTCCCACTGAGGCCTTTTAAAAACAAATTATGTATGCGTGTGTCTGTGTGTCTGTATGTCATGTATGAGCGGGTAGCCCACGGAGACCAGGAAAGGCACTGGATCCCCAGG